CACGTATAACTTTTGACTTCCCCAAAATTAAACTGCTAATAGCCTGCTGTTGACTGGAAGTCTTACTGATAACATAAATAGCTGATTAACACATATTTTGTACATTATATGTATTATATACTGTATTCTTACAATAAAGTAAGCTAGAGAAAAAATATGAAGAAAATCATAAGGAAGAGAAAATACATTTACACTATTTTTTTAAATCCACATATTAGTGGACTTGCACAGTTCAAACCATGTTATTCAAGGGTCAACTGTATATATAGATATAGCTATAGATAATAATATAAATATAGATACAGACATAAGTACAAATATAGATATAGTCATCCTGACAAAATATGAACCAAAAGCTACCAAGAATTATGAAAGAGTGGTGAATATTTTTAAGCTTATTGATGTTTTATTTTCCCACAATGTGTTCTAAACATTATTCAAGTAATAAAATTGGAATTTTTTTTTAAATTTCAAGAGGTACTTTAGTGCTAAAAATCTTACATTAAAAGAATATCTAAGTACATATGGAAAAGTTTATGATGTATCGATAAGTAAAAAAAGGACACAAAAAATATGTACCGGTTGATTCTATTTTATCTGTCACATTTTACATATTTTTTTTAATTTGTGCATATTTATGTGTAGCAAAAATACTGATTTTTGCTTGTTTATTTGTGCTTCTCTGTTTTCTAAGTTTTCTCCAATGAAAATGTATTACTTTTACAATTAGAAAAAAATGTTATTTTAAAAATACAAATAAGGGTAATCTGGAAGACAAAATCAAGTGCCAGGGGATGGGGGTGGAGTACCACTACTTATTGGGTATATGACCTAGGGAATTCACCTAAGAACTTCAGCTGCCTTCTAAAAAAGGAGGGGATAATAATATCATATGACGATGAGGATTAAGTGAGATATGTGTAAAGCAGTTGATACTTACTAAAGGCTAACTGATATTATTATTATCATTAGCTCACCCATCCAATGACTCTTGGGAGAACGCCTGTGCTCTGAAATAGTATTTCTGAGCAACTCTGCAGAGCAAAAATACCTTCTCTAGCGTTCCTCATCCATGTAGGTCACCCTGCACACCTCCAGTGCCAGGGAGCTCCCTCCCTCCCAAAGCTTCCCCTGACCTACCAATGCGTGACTATTGTTCTACCCCAGAAAAAGCCTTGACCTGAGGTTCAAAGATTTAAGTCCAAGTCCTGGCTCTGTGCCTCAAGGGCTGTGGGCCCTAGACAAGTCACTCTCCCTCTCTGGGCTTGGGAGCCTTATCTGTAAAGTATCTCAGGGAACGTCCACCCTAGACTTGCCTTGCCAAAAATGCATAAGCGGAACCTAATCATAAGGAACCATCAGACAAACTCAAACTGAGGAACATTCCACAGAATCACTGGTCTGGACTCCTTAAAAACGTCAACATCACAAAAGGCTGAAGAACTGTTCCAGAGTAAAAGAGATCAGAGACGTGACAACCAAATGTAATGCTTGATCCAGGGATTTTCTTTCGCTGTGAAGGACTTCTTTGGAACAGCTGGTAAAATCTGAATAAGGTCCAAGATAGAATGTTGTCAATGTTAATGTCCTGATCTTTATAATTGTATTTTGGTTTTATAAGAAAATGTCTTTGTGTTCAGGGGAAAAAAAAACATTATAATATTTGGGTATAAAGGAGGTCATGTCTGAAATGTATATTACTATATGTACATATGTACATATAAGTTAGGCATTCCCCAACTTATCCCACATGCCTGCCTCTTTCTGGGCTCATATCAGGGAGAAGGTGGGCCAGCACTGAGGGTCTCTCCAGCTCCCTTTCTCCAAGCTCAAGTCTACAATGGAGGCTAGACAGCTAAATACTTTCTTTCCTAACCTTCTTTATATCAGGGGTAGCTATGTGACACAGTCTGGCCCGTGAGAAGTAAACAGAAGTCCACTGAGTGGGGTTCCGGGGAAAGTTTTTGCTTTCCTGATAAAAGTGAGAAAGTATGAGAGAAGACAAGGTGAAAGTGGTAAAATGTCAATATTTGGAAAAACAGGGCGAAAGATCTATCGGAATTCTTTGTACTATTCTTATAGATTTCAGCTTTTCTGGAGGTCTGAAATTATGTGGAGAAGGTCAGTGATAGTGATAGTAACTGCAGCATTTCGTTTACTGTGCACTTACAAAGTGCCAGATGATCTCATCTGACCCCACAGCTACCCCATTAAGAGTTGTCATTATGCCCATTTTACTAAGAAGGATCCTGACGTCAGATATGGGAAGTGACTTGCCCAGACCACGTAGCCTATGGCTTGTACGTGGCAGAGCCGGAATATGAACTTGAGTCTGTCTGACTCTTCACTCTCAGAAATCTTCACCATCTTCACTGCAACAAGGTCACAAATTCCCGCACGCTACATCTGAGACTTTGCAAAGAAAATCTAACTTCTTCACTCTTTGTAAAACAACTGAGAGGGGAGGGGTCAGAGTGCAGAGCTAAATTTAGTTCAGTGCAGTTTCAAACTTGGTCTAATTCAACAATTTAAATATTTTTTTGAGGTTTCTCAAGTTTAGAGGGACTTGGTTTCTGGTAGAGTTGTTCAGTCTTTCAGATTCTTCCTTTCCTCTGCCTGCTCCTTCCAACATGAAAGCTAGGGTAGGGGTGGAGAGAGTCAATGGTCAGGTGCAGTTGGCATCTGCTGGAATCTGGGTGGCTTGGGACTATCACTGCGAATATCCACTGGCTTCCAGCTATGGCTGGTTGCTGGTGAACTGGTTGACCTCCCACAGCCTTATTGAGTTATAGGGGAGATACCAGGCTGACATCACTTCGTGTCAGCCTTTCTGTGGTCCTATGGCCATTTCTGGGGTTCTTATCTCATCCTCTTTATGGAATCCAGATACCATGACCACCTTGCCCCCACCAGGTTGGGTCCTCAGACAGGCCTACTGGCTCTCAGTTCAATGTCTAGACCCCTCAAGATCTAAGGGAGGTTCAAAAGCAAGACTAATATGCAGGTGGCACCTTTGTTATTAAAATAACAATGCTTCTATGGCCATGCTACCCTGAACAAGCCTGATCCCGTCTGATCTCAGAAGCTAAGCAGTGTTGGGCCTTGGATGGGAGACCACCTAGGAAGACCAGGTACAGTAGACATAAAAAATTTTAAAAATAAGGGACTGTGAGCTGACAAGGTCCTTGCAATCTATTAGGTCAACCAAGGGTTGCCTAGCCTAAAAAATAAAAAAATAATAAAATAATGCTTCCTCCTGGCTGGTGAAAAGCTTTGGTCCAAGATCCTTGGGTCTCCTTTCCTCTTCTCTAGCTGCCTCTGGCATATCCCCAGGTCCCTCTCATACCAAAAACAAAAGGGTTAACACCTGGCACAGCCGGTGGCCTACAAGACTCTGCTCCCTTCTGATGTTAATTCGAACTTCACCACTCCTTTCTCAGTCTGACTATGCAGGGTCCTTTCTCTTACTCTAAGGCTTCTCTGAACTTCTCTGAAGTCTCAGAGGGCAGTGGACAAGAGCCCCTTTGCTCTAGGCATTCCTCAACTTATCCCACATGCCTGCCTCTTTCTGGGCTCATATCAGGGAGAAGGTGGGCCAGCACTGAGGGTCTCTCCAGCTCCCTTTCTCCAAGCTCAAGTCTACGATGGAGGCTAGACAGCTAAATACTTTCTTTCCTAACCTTCTTTATATCAGGTGGAGGCTAGACAGCTAAATACTTTCTTTCCTAACCTTCTTTATATCAGGGGTAGCTATGTGACACAGTCTGGCCCATGAGAAGTAAACAGAAGTCCACTGAGTGGTGTTCCGGGGAAAGTTTTTGCTTTCCTGATAAAAGTGAGAAAGTTAGCCCATGCCAACCCTCTCTCTCCTTCCTGCTTTAAACAATGACATGATGCCTAAAGTTTTGGTAGCCACATATGACCCAAAAGGATCCCAGAAAGGCTTACCCTGACATGGTTGCTGTCTACCTCCAGATTTCTTTTTATGTGAGAAAAATAAGTTCCTACAAATTGAGTTTCCTATTTTTTTTTTTTTTTAGCTAAATGCAATCCTGATATAGGGCAATTAGAATGTGTGTCCGTCTACCTACCTCACCGACTCTGTCCATGGTTTTCCCCTACCTTGCTGTCCCCACAGTTCCTTGGGCCTGGAAGAGGCAGAGTTCTCCTCTATCACCTCTCCCTGCTTAAATGAAAACTTTGCTTTCATAAAATCCTCACTTTCCACCTGGGCAGGCTCTTAAAATGCTACAATAGGAGATAAAGGAACATAGAAAAATCCTTTCACTCTTAAAAAGGTCTGCCTTTCAAGCCCAATGCACCATCTCATTCTGAATGCCAGAAGTGTGGTTTTAATGCTATTATTATTCATTCTTATTATAATTAACTCACTCTTATTAATTCTTGTTATTATTACTATTAACTCTTATGAGTAACTCCACCTTTCTTTTTGCATTCCTTCTATAAAGTCCTAATCTCCTGATATTATAATCATCCCCATTTTATGGATGAAGAGACTGGGAGGTTGACAGAAATCGAGTAATTTTTCCAGAGTTGGACAGAGCAAAAGTGATACAGGCAGGACCGGAACTATTTACAATGATCATTAATGCCCACTGTCCTCGGGGACCTCACTCCCTCCACCAACTATCCCTCCATCTCTCACATACCTTGGACCTCTCCCTCCCCTTTCCCTGGCCCCAGGGGAGGAGGGGTGGAGGGGCGGTGAGCAAGCAGGAAGAGGAAATAATTGGCAAGCATGTATTTTATTGGAGAACAAAGGTGCCAGCCCCAGAGCCAGCTACACATATTCTGGCTCAGGGGCCGCCGGAGGCTTGAGTCCGTAGGGAAGGCAGCACAGTGAGCCATCTGGGCATAGGTGCATATAGGTTTCTTGCCTTGTGCAGTAAGTCCGACAGGCCCCTTGGCCCTTCCAGCACCGTTTGAATTCACTTCTCCCTAAGCAGAGGAAAACCACAGGTCACAGAACAGCCCAGGGTCACAGGCTAGACCACTGTTCACAAGTTTGACCACAAATCAAGGATTAGGCTATAGGACCCAGGTTAGATCCCAAGTCATCAGCTAGCTCTCTGGTCATTTGTTAGATGACTGGTCATATAGCAGCCCACAGGCTATAAATTAAGCCCCAGGTCAAAGGTTAGATTAGAGGCAACAGGCTAGATCACCAGAGACAACTCATTACAACTTAAACCACAGATCTCAGTCCAGGCTAGTCCACAGGTCACAAGTCAGACCACTGGTTATAAGTTAGAGATTATTTTCGTGTTCAGGTTAACCCGCATCCCAGGTATGCTCTAAGCACTTTTCCTAACAAGACTATACGATTATTGTTGTTGTATTACAATCCCTGTTATACAAATAAGGAAACAGGCACAGAAAGATTAACAATTTTCCCCAAGGTCACACATTCATTAAAAGAGCAGAGCTAGGATTCAAAACCCAGGCATTCTGGCTCCAGAGTCCACTCTTGTAACCATTACACTAACTGCCTCACACACTTATGGACCTGTTTAATGTTAAAGTTTAGTGAAGAAATTTCCAACGAGGAGCCATGGAAGAGGTAAGGCTTTGGGTGAATAGGTCTTATACTCTCTCCAACATTTTTGAACACAGCATGGAAGGGGGCACACCCTTTGTTTATTCCTTCAACACACATGAGGTACTAGGGGTATCACAATGAACAAGATGGCTGTGGTCCATGGCCTGGAGGAGCTTCCAGCAGGGAAGACAGTTAAATCGCAAGCAAATCAATAGAATAACTAAAGTTGTGGTAAGTATCCTGATCAGAGTGCTGTGATGGCCAATTAAGGCAGGGGTGGAAGAATGAGGAGAAAGGAGGACCTGTCTGTTATAGCAATATTTCTAGACATATGACCCAACAACTAGGAAGAACTGGGCCTGAAAGGGAGGTAGAGGGGAGAGGTGTCTCTCCCTAAATTAAAAAAGATTCCACAGAATCCTTACATGATACCATGGGCAGACATGAGTGTTATTCAGCCCTGTCAATCTGCCCATCCCTTTGTCCTGCCAAAAGAGAGTATCTTAGCATGATGCAGAGCTGACCTCAAAATCTCCCTGTGGCAGAGAAGCCATATTCTGAAGAGGGTGTGTGTTAATGAGGTGGTGAGCACCTAGCTCAGACTGCCTGGGTCCAAATCCCAGCTCTGCCATTTCCCAGTTGAGTGACCTGGGCCTCAGATTCTTCATCTGTACATCTCTCTTTCAGAGGGCCGTTATAGAGGATTTCATGATTTTAGCACAGTGGCAGCATATAGTAAATACTCAATAAATGGAAAGTGAGATTATCAGAATAACAGCTTAGAGACATGGAGCCACTAGGGTTCATTCTAAGCCAATCCTCTCATTTTACAGATAAAGAAAAGAAGAGACTTTCCCAGTTCTTCCTAATCGGTAAGTGGTGGGTCTGGAACCAGAAGCCAAGACCCTGACTCCCAGGTGAGGGCAGTTGCTATAATAACAGCTCTTAACATATCATCACATTTCAACCTTCCATCCCTGAGATATAGAAGTTATTTTCTCCTACGTGATCTGCTTTCCCTTCCTCACATCTTGGACTTCTCTCTCCACTTCTCTCCTTGTGCTCCCCACTCTGGACACACTGGCCTCCCCACTGCTCCTGAAACATTGTCGGTCGGTTGGTCGGTCAATCGGTCGGTTCGCCAGTCGATCTATCGATCCATCTATCTATCTGTCAACTATCTACCTATCTACCTATCTATCACCTTCTGCTGTCTTTATACAGTAAGTCATCATTTAATGTCATCATGTGATGTTCTGTGACCTTAAGTGAAACCTATAAAGAAACCAATTTTACTACAGGCTAATTGATATAAACAAGAGTTAAGTTCCTATGGCATCTCATCAACCTTATAATGAAACAAAGTTATTCAAGAACCTGCTGTATTCTCACTCCATTCAGATCTCTGCTCAAACCTACCTTATATAAAATAATAAGATATTTGAGATTTACTCCAAAATAGTTCACTGGGGAGGAGGGGGCCGGCGAATGACAAAAGAGGATTGGTTTACTTTGATAATTGTTGAGATAGGGTGATAGATACATGGGGATTTTCTATACTGTATTTTTATTTAGGTTTGAATTTTTCTCAAAAAGATTTCTTTTTAAAACTCACATCATTACATTATTCTCTACTTTCGTATGTTTATGTTTTTCCATAATAAAAAGTTTTTTAAAAAACTCGCCTCGTTCCTCATATTCTACTTTCATGTACATATGAAATAAAAACTTTAAAAATAAAAACTTATCAGAGGCCTTGCAGCTCTCCCACCCGCCCCACACGCACACAACACTCTAACCCCTTGCCCTGCTTTTATTTTTCTTAGCATTTATCACCACTTGACATATCATATGTTTATTTGGTTACTTTCTCTCTCCACTAACTAAAATATTAACTTTATGAAAGCAAGGACCTTGTTTTCTTTCACTGCCGAATCCCCGGCAATTGTAATAGTGTCTGGCACGCAGCAAACATCTTTCAAATGAATATTTGTTGAGTGAATCCCATTTTAAAGATTAGGAAACTGAGGTGTGGCTGATTTAGCAGCCCTCTCCAGGCTGCCCAGTAAGCCAGTGATGAGACCAGAATTTAAACACAGGTCTAGGCCTCTTCTGTTCCCAGGACTTAAGAACCTATTCCTCATGGTTCTTACATTCTACACACACACACACACACACACATACACAGGTGATATTACCTGGAGGCACATGACCCAGAACCAGGAGAGCCACAATGAGCAGAAGTAGCTGTGTCATGGCCACAGGGCTCCTGGAAAGCCACTGGGAGAACACAAGCGGAGAGGAGCCAAGCATACTGCCTGTGGCCCGGGCTTTATTGGGCTGCAGATCAAGGCAGGAGTGTGGGCAGCAGGAGACCTAAGTGGGAGTCTGAGGCCTTGTGGTCCCAAGGATGGAGCTAGATCTCAGCCAGCCATGTGGGAAACTGGTCAACCACACCCTTCGGACATTGCTGAGCTCTGAAGCTGGGGACAGAATTTCCTGAAGCGATGCCTGGGGTCAGAAACAGGATATCTTCCCACTTAAAGAGAGTGGGGAAAATCTCAGCTTCAAAGAGACTTGCTTCAATGCCAACATCTCCCTTTTATCCCTATGATAACTTGGACAAGTCGCTTAGCCTCTCTGAGCCCCAGGCTGTCATCTAGGAAATGATGATGACTCCTCCCTTGCAGAGCTAAATACACAGAGGAGTCCCTTCCTGATGCCAAGGAGATGGGACCAGAACTCACGGACCTGTTCAAACAAGCATGTATTTTGGCCTATGCGGAAAATGAGAAGAGTAACAGAGAGTATTAGCACCTCAGCTCATTTCAAAGATGAAATGAAATAATACAGTCATTCTCAGAGTGTGGTGCCAGACCAACAAGCAGCAGCAATAAATATTGGGCTTTGTTAAAAATGAAAATACTGAATCAACAGTTCAGGGGTGGGTCCCAGAAAGCTATGGTATATGACAAGCCCTCCAACTGATTCGACTACAACTCTAAAGTTTGAGAACCACTGAGAGCTTATGTGTACAGAGATTAGAACAGTGTCTGGTCCATAGGCATCTGAGTTGCATCTTCAAAGACAAAAATTCCAGGCAGAAGGGAACGAAATGTACCTGAACGTGGCAGCCATGGCCAGAGCAAGGGATTTGCTGGGAGGAGAATCGAAATGACACTGCCTAGGACAGAAGCCAGAGCACGATGAGCCTTGAATGCCAAGTTCAGGATTTTGTATTGTAGACAACTGTAAGTTTTGTAATAAGGGTGTAACCTGTTTAGATTTCAATTTTAAATAAAGAAACTGAAACCCAAAGAAGGGAGGTGACTTGCTTAAAGTCATACAGCAATCAGGTTGCAGAGCTGGGAGAGGGTGACTTAAACTAAGTCACCTCACTCCCAGACAACATAAGACAGACACTGCACCGCTCACAGCCCATCTTGTAGGTGGACAGGGAAGCTTAGAGAGCCAAGCCATAGAAGGAAGCCAGGCGTGAAGGGGTTCAGCTAGTCTACCAGGCTGCTGTGGGAGTTGCTCTGAGCTGGACACCTGGACCCCCTCAGCCATGACAACCCCCACCCACAGGTACAGCCTGGTCTCCATGCGCCCCACATACACACCTGCTTCTGTCCCTCATGACCTTAAAGGAAGCACTCTCCTTAAGAGCCTGGATTCTGGCCCCATGGATGGCAAAACTCACCAATTCCCTACTGCCAACTTCTCTTCTATACCAAAATCACAGTGTCTCTTTCCTCCTACTACATGCCCCGGAAGAAAAAAACAAAACAAAACAAAACAAAACAAAAAAAGCCATGGACTGTTATAGAAAGAGATAGTAGGCTGAGAGACAGACCTGAGAACCAGGCACAGGTAAGTCTCAGTTTGCTTGTCTTCTTAGTGTTGTGTCAGGATTAAATGAGCTACAAATCCAGGCAAAGTGCTCAGACCATACCAGGCACAGCACAAATGCTCAATAAATATTCATCAAAGAGTGGACAGCCATTCTTCCCAAGCTGTATAACAGGTGCTCAACCTAGAATTTGACGAGTGAAATGTATACCAAAATAACACATTGAGAACTTTTCAGTGCAGATTTCCTGGGCTCCCTCCTCTCCTCAAGACACCTCTCAAAACTAACTCTTCCATTCAAAGCAGAGTTTCTCACAGCGGGACCCACGAACTTTGCATCGGGATCACTTGGGCACTTGTTTAAAACGCAGATCCCCGAATCCTCTCCCAGGACTGCTGAATCCGCCTCTCGAGGAGAGTGGGACCTGGGAGCCTGAACATTCAACAAGCTTCCCAGGCGGTTTTTGTGAGGACTAAATTTGGCGTGCCCCACTGCTGGAGTGGATAGATGCAGATGCAGAGGAATTCCGAGCCCCCACCCTTCCTCACTCTGACCCGCTCCCCCACCCCAACACCGTCACCCCCACTCTGGACAAAAGACAGCAGGCGCGGCGGGTCAGCTGAGCCCTGCAGTAAAGTCATTCAGCGGCCAAGGCCTAGGGGCGGGGACCCCGGGGCTGCCCTGCTGAGGCGGGGCTGGACGGGGCGGGGTCGCGGCTCCTCCCCCTCCTGGGAGGCGGGGCAGGACCCGCTGAAGGGGCTGAGTGCGGAGGCGGTGGTACAGCCTGGAGCACCCGGCAGCTGCGGGCCGGGGACCCTGGATCCCCACCCCACGCCGAGGTAAAGGCCCGCGCAGCCCGCCGCCAACTTAGTCAAGTTGGAGCGGAGTTCGCCAGGCGCCTGCATGGGGAGTGCTGCAACGCAGGCAGGGCTGTGGGGATCTCGAACCCGCATCCCAAGGGTGAGTGTCCTCCACCTGGGGCCCGGCGGGTTGGGGAGGCCGGGATAAGAAACTCGCCCAGATTAGAGTACTCACACCCAAGACCCCGAGCTGGTAAGTCCCGACTCAGACTCCGGGAGTGGCACATGCGCTCCGGGGCCCTGTAGATCCCCTCGTGCCTCTCCCCTACCTTCTCTCCCCTCCCCCCACCCCCTCCCCCCAGGACTCTGTCCTGTCACCATCGTGCACCAGGCTGCCTCTAAGCCCCCGCCCCCCAACAGCCGCTAGAGGCCGTCGAGCTAGCCTCTCCTGAATTTTTCACGTAGGGGGCGGGCCGGACACGCTGTTCCCATGGCACCAAGGCGCTCGGGTTACCGCGGGAACCCCCAGACCCCCCCCTTTCCTTCCTCTGCCGAGTACCAACGCACCCACTCCTGCCTCTTCCTCAGCCTTCATAAGATGGGGCAGCGGAAGTGAACCCCCCAGGGGCCCTCAACCCTCCTCCGTACTCCAACCCCCTATCCGTGGAAGGGGAGGACAGGGCAATTCAGGTGCCTTTCAGAACATGGGTCTCGTGTTCTGAATGGGAAGGGCAGGTCTGTGTACACATGTATGCATGCCTGTGTGAACATCCCGCCTCGCTGCTGCCCCTTGGCCTGTGTGTCGTGGGGGAGTGGGTCATCCTCAAGGCACAGGAAACGGCCTCTGGGTGCGCATGCATGTGTGTGTTCACAGCTTGTGCATTCACCCCACCCCCAGCCTGACCCAGTCATACTGTGAGCCTGAAGCCAGAAAGCCCCCACCCCAAGGAGCTGAGGCGCCTCCTCCTCCTCCTCCTATCTGAACAAGAGGGGACTCTGGAGGAAGCCATTTCAACAGCTCACCAGGACCCTAGAGAAGAAGTGGCTCAAAACAACCATTAGAAAGACGGAAGGACGGAGCCCCCTCTCAAGGATGACGCTAAACACTCAGCAAGAAGCAAAGACCCCCCTGCGACGGCGAGCCAGCACTCCACTGCCCCTGTCCTCCCGCGGTCACCAGCCTGGCCTGCGCACAGCGCCCTCCACTTCCGCACAACCCCAACATCCCCGTCTGGGCCACTCAGCCTCCCTCAACCCTCCCACCCGGCAACCTTCACCTGCCCCCAACGATTGGTCCTCTGAATCCAGCGACTCTGAAGGCTCCTGGGAGGCCCTCTACCGCGTGGTACTGCTTGGAGATCCTGGCGTAGGGAAGACCAGCCTGGCCAGCCTCTTTGCAGGGAAGCAAGAGCGAGACCTCCAGGAACAGCTGGGAGGTAGGGACCCTGTGGGCTGGGCTGGGATGTGGCCAAAGAAGAGAAAGCTCTGTCATCAAGAGGCACAAGGCTGCCAAGAACAGTTGTACAATTCATGCACTGCTCAACTCTAAGGGGCATCATTCACATAGACTATGAAGTGAATATGCCCCCTAGAGTTGTGCAGTGCCTGCACAATGGTCTACGGGAGGGAAATTCCTTGAATAATGAGAAATTCGCCAATTTATCATGGATGAAAGATTTAGAATTTAAGTCTCGTGTAAAGAAATGGTGGACTTCCACCCAGCTCAGAAACCCCTAGCTCCCAACTCTCCCCCTGAGTCTTGGACCATCCTAGCTCCATAGACAACCATCCATGGCTACCACGATCCGCGGCAAAGCTAAAATACTGTCCAAAATGGAGATTTCCAGACTCCAAGTTCTGGGCTCTGGGTTCCTTTATTCCCAAGAGATGCAGTGAGCTGAGAGGCTCAGAGGCCCCAGGACGATGAGGGACAGGGACAGGACAGAGGACATGAAGGTGGGTCCCTGCATGATTAGCTGAGAGGACACAGGGTGAGTGGGGACGCAAGTCAGTTAAGAGCAAAGAGAAGGTGGAGACACTCTGACCAGATCCTTTCTCCAGGCTTGACCCCTCTAAGAGTGAGAACCCATATGAGAGGTATACAAATGTCTCGGTGTGACAGATAGGAAGGCTGAGGCCCAAACAATATAACGTCACCGGCATGAAGCATGTAAGCCAGGGACACAGCGAGACTGGGAGAATTCCCAGCTCAACTTTAACCCCACTACCCCACATTCATTCAGTCAACCAAACCAACAAAAGCTTTCTTAGCACCTACTATATGCCAGGTACTGTGCTGACAGCTGGGGAGACATGGGCTCCTCATGGAGCCTCTTGACCTATCAGGAAAGACAGACATCAAAAAAAAGTGGTGAGCTCTTCAAGGAGAAGTGAAGGGGGTGCTGTGACCATAAGGGGGTCTAGGGAGGCCCACACCCTCCCCAGGTCTGCTCCTTCCCCCTGAGATCCAGCTCTTCCCTCGGTTGCAGAAGATGTGTACGAGAGGACCCTCACGGTGGATGGAGAGGACACCACGCTGGTGGTCATGGACACCTGGGAGGCCGAGAAACTGGTATGGCACAGCAAGCGAGATTTGGGGGTAGGGTTTCTGAGCCTAGTACCAGATTCCTATCCCCTCCTATGACACTATAGAATAGGGACAGGACAGGGGCCATTCTCAGCCTCGTCCCCCCCCAAAAAACCCATGACTTGTGCATTCACCCCACCCCCAGCCTGATCCAGTCTGCCTTTCCAACCAAAGACAGAAGAACCTCATGACTCTCACCCCCTTTTCTCACTCCACTGGTTCCCTCTCCGTAGCCATCCCAAGATGTGCTTCTCCTCCTGCAAGCCTTCCCCTCTTACTAGCACCCTCATCCCACTCCACCCGTCCACATTGTGCAGAGGAAGGAACACTGAATTTAGCATCAAAATGCCTGAGACTGAACCCTTTATCTTACCAGCTGTGTGACTTTGTTCAATTTACTTACCCACTCTGAGCTTCACTTTTCTCACCTGATAAATGGGTCGATTATTCCTGCCTTACCAGCTGTTTTTTGGTTTTTTTTTAAGTTCTTATGCAATTTCACAGAGGTAAGCATAATTTGGAGCATAAAAAAAATGCTGAACATGGGTAAAGAATTGTAAATTATGATAATTCTTATTAATCATAATTTGGTAGCTAGTAAAAAAGGAAACCAAAGGGTGTCCTTCCCTAGCCCCTTCCAGAGCAGGAAGACAGGAGCAGGCAGGGACATGTCCCTATTATATTTTTCTTATCGTGCTTGAGTTTTCTTTTTTCTGGCTATACGGATAATACATGTTTCACTATAGAACTTTGAAGAATACAACTAAGCAAAGAGAAGGATCTAAAAAGCACCTGAGATCCCATCTTGCTAAGGAGTAGGTCCCTCCCCTAACACTCAGGGAGGCCCTGTAAGGCTTGACAAGAATGGGTGACAGCTCCAGTGACAGGCCCAAAAGCAATGGATGAAAGATATGTGTGGCCAAAACCTTTAAAAAGAAAATGCAGGTCCAAATGAATATAATAATAATGATGATGATTCTCCTAACAGCAGCTGACATTTATGGAACACTGGACATATATTATGACATTCAGTCAAGACAAAAACTATACAGTGAGTGTTCTTCTGATTCCCATTCTACTGATGAGGAAATCAAATCTGAAAGTTTAAGTAATATGTCCAAAGTTCTCAGATAGCAAATAGATTCAAACCCAGATCTATAAGACCCCAGAACCTATAATTTTATGCACTGGGACTGCCGCTCCATCCTTGCTGGGAGCATCACCTTCTGAACCTCCAGCTGAGGGTCCACTCTTTCATTCATTTGTTCATTAAAAAACACTTGCTGGGTATATACCATGGGCCAGGACACTGGAGACCCAGCAGTGAATAAGGCAGACACATCTCCTGACTCCATGGAGCTCACAGACTGGTAAGGGAGGGGTACTTTTTGGATGCAGATGAGAATCTATGGGGAAGAATCCAGTGAATTAAGAATCGTGATCAGCGTGGGAGTCCCATTTGGGAGACAGAGGAGAAAGAGTACTGGACTAGAAGGCAGGAACTGGAATTCCGTGCCCAGCTGACTGCATGGCCTTGAGAAAGTTTTCTCCTCTGGCCCATGGTTTTCCTACAGGTAAAATAGGGTAACTGAATCAAAGAGGGTCCACATAGTAGCAGCCTTGTTGAAATAAGCTTCCATCCTTCCCATCCTTGGGCTAGATGGTTAGAGGTCAGGGACAGAATCTGACAGAACAGGGTGGACCTTTGGCTCATCCAGTAGTGCCTCAGCTTGACTGACCATCAGGGTCACATGGAGAGAGTATAAAAAAAATAATGAATGAATGAGTGAGTGAATGAATGGTGAAGACCCACCTCATGCTACAGATGGGGAAATTGAGACCCAGAGAGAGGAAGGATCCTGTCCATAGTCAAAGCTGAGAACCCACATCTGTCTGACTCAGCTCACAGTTATTTGGCCTGGGGAAGGATCAATATGGCTATTGAGAACTTAGCCCCTTTGACAATGATATTGACCATGGATCTGATGATTTCCTACTCATCTATCTTATTTGGTTATCAGAAAACTTCTAGCTCCTTCCCCCCTCACAAACATGCCTCCGCCACATTCAGTATTTCCCACTCCTGACCCACTCTCTTCTCTCCTGCCCAACCTGTTCATCCTTTCAACCCCACTCAGGTCCGCCGTGAAGCCCTCCCACTCTCTGCCAGGTGAGTCATTCTGGCCTCCCCCACCTGCATGGCTTCTCCAGCCATTTGCATATGGATACTTATCACACTGCATTATAACTCTCCATTTCCATAGCCTCCCTTCCAGACTGTGAGCTTTGGAGGGCAGGAATTGTGTCTCCTTAAACACTTATAAAGTTACCCAGGTGGTCCAGTCTCAGAGTGCTGTCCCTGACAACAGATCACCATCCAAAATGGAATAGCAAAATAACTCCGATTCTTTCCTTGGTCAAACAACTTGCAAGGACTCCACTTCCTAAAATGGCCTGTGCGTCTCATTCCCCCTTCCCTCACATTCCAGTTACTCCTTCCTCTCTCTCTCTCTTTCTCTCTGTCTGTCTCTCTGTCTCTGTCTTTCTCTCACTCTCTCTCCCCAAAACTATCCTGAAAAATGCCTTCACTTGAAGTCAGCCTCCATCTTCACTTCTCTCCCTCCCATTTTTTTCTTTTGAGAAGACTGCAGAAGGCCAAAAAGACTGTCTGGCCTGACTGAACCCTCCTCAGAAACCAGACAAGAGTTAAACAGGTAAAGCCAGAACAGCTAAACAGCATACCTCCTTAGCAGGAAGAACCAAATAATTTTGTTTTGCCTCCAGTGCCCAGCCTACAGAAGGTACCAATGAATGGGAGAATGTATTGAGATGGTGTCATTAGCCCAATTTTTCAAGCGAAGAAACTGAAGCTTAGAGATCAGTGGTTTTCCTAAGGTGAATAGGGAATTATGGCAGAATTTGTCCCCCAAGCCTATCCTAAGTATAAACCTCAGCCCATCCCACCCATTAGACCATCGCAGCCCCTTTCTCAGCCAGGGTCTCTGTGTCCTCTGAAGATGGGCCTGGGGTCCCTCCCCTACAGGATGAAAGCTGGAGCCAGGAGTCCTGCCTGCAGGTGGGCAGTGCCTATGTCATCGTGTACTCCATCGCAGACAGAGGCAGCTTCGAGAGTGCCTCTGAGCTCCGCATTCAGCTGCGGCGCACACATCAGGCGGACCACGTGCCCATCATCCTGGTAGGCAACAAGGCAGACCTGGCACGCTGCCGAGAAGTCTCCGTGGAAGGTGAGATCCCCACTCCACCCTCCTCCACATTCTTCTCAGCCTGTCACTGCTCCTCCTCCAAAGCTCTTCATCTCAGTGACTGTCTGCCTCCCTCACCCCCTCCCCCGCCATCCTGCGTCTACTTGCCTAATCTTGAAAGCTAGGAACCATTCCTGCCTCCTCTCTCACTCCCCCAAACCAGTCCCCAAATTCTTTCAGATCCACCTCCCTTAACCCCACATTCCCTTCCCCCCATTCCCACAGCCTCCACCCCATCCAGCCATCTCCACTTTAGCCTGGGCCAGCCCCCATACTTCTCTATCCCCAGTCAGTTCTCCTCACCAGCTGCCAGTTTCCCAGAACCAGATCTGGCCTTGTCACTTCTTTGCTTAAAAATTCCACTTTGGCTCCTCCATGCCCTTAATCAGAGATACTTTATCCACCAGGCACGTTAGGCCTAGTCCTACAGGCTTTTCAAGGGCTTACATCTGAGACCTGAAAAAGATAATTATTGGTTCCCAAATAGAGAAATTTATACATTCAGATTTCAGAAAGCTTTACTTGTCTACATGATATTGTGTCCGCCTGCAAATACAAACCAACACATGTAAAGTTATATATAAATTGTATTTGAAGTGGGATGGTGAATATTTTAATATGTTTGATATATCAGGTGGGACCCGTAAAGATCTTTAAATGGCCCTACTTACAGGGAGCAATCTAAAAATTATGGAATCTGAGACCCAGAGAAGGGAAGCCAATTCCAGAGGATCACCAGCCACTAAGGACTAGAACCCAGGCTCTTGCCTCCCAGCCCAGTGGCATGCTGGAGATGCAAGAGTATATGCTTTGTGAGCAGACATTCAAAATTCCAAAACATAACCCCAGGAGATTTTGTTAAAATGCGGGTTCCAAGACCACATCCCAAACTTACTGAATCAGAATCTCTGCGGGCAGTCCCAGGAATCTTCATTTTAACAAGCTCCCCCATATAATTCTGACACAGATTAGACTCCTTCCTTACCTGGCATTCAAGACCCTTCCCTACCTGGTCCCAGCCTCCCTGTCTTCTCAGCCTCATTTCTGCCACCACTATCAGTCACTAGGCTGCAAACTAACTCCTCAAAGCCAGACCTGATTTATCTCTGAGTCTTCTGGCACCAGCACAACATATGGAAAAGGAAAACTTGCTTCTGGTTGAGACTGAACACGGCTCTTCCTACCTTTATCTCCTCTTCCCCTCCGCCCGCCTGACCCCGCCCCCTCAGAGGGCCGCGCCTGCGCTGTGGTGTTCGACTGCAAGTTCATCGAGACATCAGCCACCTTGCAGCACAACGTGGCCGAGCTCTTCGAGGGCGTGGTGCGCCAACTGCGCTTGCGCCGCCGGGACAGCGCAGCCCGGGAGTCACCTGCGCCCCGACGGCGGGCGAGCTTCGGCCAGCGCGCTCGTCGCTTCCTGGCACGCCTGACAGCCCGCAGTGCCCGCCGCCGAGCACTCAAGGCCCGCTCCAAGTCCTGCCACAACCTGGCCGTGCTCTGAGACCGCCCGCCCTCCCAGAAGTGGCGAGACCCTGGGGTGCACGCTTAGCTCCTCTGACGCCACCGAGGGGCAAAAGCTTGAAATGCGACTCGTGGGCCTTGCCTGCCCGCTGCCCCGATTGCCAGAGCATCTCCCGGAGCCACAACTTCAGGGACCCTCTGTCCGGGAAGCGATGGACAGACTATGGGGCCGAAGACCCAGCCGAGCACAAAGTAGGGTTTTTTTTTACGCAGGGCGTGTGTTTTTGTAAAAATTTTCTTTATTCTTGGCCTCTGGCCAACTCTCAGAAACCCAGCACAATAAACTAGCCAGAAGGATGTCCCGTCTGAAAACCCAGACCTCTTCTTTGGGGCTCATCTAGGTGTCACCACCTCCTCCTCTCCTATCTTGGCTGCAGATTGGGTTAGCCTGCTGACCTGTGTTGGGGTCAGTCAAAATCATTAGACCAATTCTGTTTTCAGGCCCTTCTTGGAACCACTGGGCATAGCCGCTGCCCGGGGCCTTTGAGGGAGACCCAGTAGAGTACAAACAGCTAGTTCAGTGTGATGACCTCTATTTACTTATTAACCCATTTTCTTAGATGATAGATTCATAAAATATTACCTGGAAGGAATCTTAGCACTCATCTTGGCGTTAAAATAATTGATGTTTGTTGAGAGCTGACTGTACTAAACTGATACAACTATTAATCTCATAACCCCTGTGTACTAATTAGGAAACTGAGGCCCAGGACAGTGAAGGCTCGTGCTCTAGGGCATACAGCTGCTATAAGCGAAGTTGCCAGGATTCCAATCCAGGCTTATTAAACTATAGTCTGTATCCAACTTACCCACAGTCCTCTTGGAGAATGTGAAAAAAAGCTGTGGAGTCCCCAGAAATGAGCTTTCAAACACAATTTTGCATACAATTTAAAGGGGGTGGGTGCGACTCCATGAAACCCAATTTATCCCAGGATGAACCCCCAATTTAGTCCAACTCATTCATCTTTCCGAATGTGGAAACTGAAGCCCAGAGAAGGGAAGTGAGCATCCCAGGGTCGCCCAGCCAGTGAGGATAAGGACTGGACCCCAGGGCCCAGACTCCTCCTATGTCTGTGCTGGAAGTCATAGGTAGAGGCATCCAGCCTGGCTGGGCCTGGGGTTGGACCTCAGGGGTCAGGTCAGGAGTTTCCAGCGAAGGGGAAGGAGTGTCGCTAATTCGAGAGGAGAACAAGATGCAAATAGTTTAGACCATCATGTCCCTGATGGCTGACACCACTGCCTCCAAACAGCTGCCTGCCCAGATGCCTCAGCCCCCCACGTGGGCCCTGTCCCTGCTACCAGGAACACGGTGCCAAGGAAGAGTGAAGCACTCCAGCTGCGACACCCCGCCTTCCCAGTCTTGCCAGCCGGGCACTGAAGGCACTTATCTCCCCATCCTAACTCTGGCCTGGGGAAGGGAAGAGGAGGAGGGTCTTCCCCCACCCCAAGCTGTCCTGGCCCTGTGGTCATGGGGGAAGGGCTATAGTTATGGAAAGTTGGCAGAGGCAGCCGGCAGCAGCCGGGAGAGTGGAAAAAATGATATCAAACCCGGAAAAATGCAGGCCGGATGGAGGGCCTGAGTTGGAGGCCCTGGGAGGTGAAAGGGAGGGAGGGAGGGAGCCCCACAGGCTGAGAAAGGAAGAAAGGCCAGGGAGACAGCACAGGAGCTGGTTCTGAGAAAACTGAGGACTATCATGTCATTTCTTTATTCACACACAAATATTTGTCAAGGGCCTACTAAGTGCAGGGCACAGTGCCAGGCTCCGGGGAGACAGTGGTGAGCAGAATGAGTAGGCCGCTGTCCCCCGGAGTTCACAGTCTGGGAGGAAAGCAGACTAGAAAACAAGTGAATGAAATAATTTCAAATTGATAAGGGGCTAACAATCAGGGTATTATGGAAAGCCCTGAAGACAATCCAATCCAAGCCCCTCAATTTGCAGATGAGGAAACTGAGGGCCAAAGAGGGAGAGGACTTACCCAGAGGCTCCTCAGAATGTGAAAGAAATCGTTGAGACCATGATTGGGGGGTGGAAGGGGAGGGACAAAAGAAATAGTGCAGACCAGGCTAGCGGGTAAGAGTATGCAGCCAGCGCAGCAGGATAGCACCATGGTTGGTCATGGGCCCCGAACCAGGGCAGGTGTGATCAAACAGGGCTCCCCTCCACCTCTGTGTGCCTTAGCTTCTCCATCTGTAAAACAGAATTCAGGACAGTTCCCTCCCTCAGAGTTGATGTGAGGATTAAATGACTTATGATGTGAAGTACTTAAAACAGTTCCTGCGTCTAGGAATATTCAATAAATGTTGGTTCCTGCTGTCATATCATAAGACCTTGGGGATATTCTGAAACTGTGAAGACTTGCTTGGAAGTCTTTGCCCTGTTATGGCACTGGAGGACTTGAAAATCTTTTCAGTTTCTCCATCTGTAAAATAAAGGGATTGAATCCAAACTTGTATCATACATTTATGTACTCACGTTTACTGTCTACATCTCCTACGGGAACAAAAGCTCCATGAGGGCAGGACCCAAAATGCTGCTCTCTCCCCAGCACCTACAGCAGTGCCTGGCTCGTGATAGGTGATTGGTAAGTATTTGTCAAATAGATTAATTAACAGATCTGTAAAATGGCTTTCCAATCCTGACCTCTCTCTGATTCTAGGAGTCTGTGAATAAGGCATGGCTGGGAAAGCATGTGAGAAAACCACAATATTTCTCCCGGGGACACAGCCAATTATAGTTTAGAAAGTTCTTTTTCATCCATAAAAACAAACCAAAAAAAAGCCAACTTTATTTTAGCTCTTTCTGTGTGCTAGGCCCCACGCTACGTGGTTGCTATACATTTTCTCATCACTACCACGATCATCTACTTACTAGGCACCATTTAACAGATGAACACACTGAGGCTAATAGAACGCAAGAAATTTTTCTAAGACCACACAGCAAGAAAGGGTAGTCAGGTTCACTCTCCGATCAGGCAGGAACTGCTATCTTCATTGTATAGTCAGGGAAACTGAGACCCAGAGAAAGGAGATGAATTGCCCAAGATAATATAATAAAAACAGCAAACAGTTACATCACTCTTACTATGTATCAGGCTCTGCGCTAAATGATTTTCATATATTAAACCCTCAAAGCTGGTCATATTACTACCATGACAGTTTTCAGATGGAGAAACTAGAGCAGAGAAAGCTTTAATACCCTTCCTGTTCACACAGTTTGCAAATAGCAGAGCCAAGATTTGAACCAGGGAAATCTAGTCCCGTGGTGTTAAGCGCTCATCCCTATTGCACCGTCTGTCAGTAGAGCAAGTCTGGACAGGCTGGAATTAAAAGTGGGGTGCCCAGCACCCTGCCTCCTGGGCTGAGACAGAGTGAACAAAAGCACATTGAAAGTATCCTCAGCTGCCAGCTGGGACTTTCCACCTTGAAGGGAGGGTAGTGTTATGGAAAAAATGATAAAGCTGTGGAAAGATGAATGTTTTCCCAGGGGCCCCAAGTCTCCTCGAGTTCCCCCCACCTTCTTTGCTGTGGGGGAGTGCCACAAACTGTGCTGGCCTGATCCTGATGAGATGAAGGCCACCTGGATCCCGACACACCCCAGCCTGGGCTGCTCGAATACTGAGGATCACTGGCCTTGATGGAAAGTTCCAATTTCTCAGCCAGGAACATGAAGCTTCCACCCAGGGATCCCCAAGGAATCAGGTTCGGGCTGGGACTCCCTGTCTCATGGGGCCGCTCAATCCTTCATTCAGCAAGCTTTGAGAAGGGTGTGGGCTCTGAAGCAAGGCAAGGAGGGGAGAAAAGGTCTAGCTGGCTATTTATAAAGATTAAGAATCTCTCACCTCTGCCATGACTGTGTGACCTTAGGCAAATCAAAATACACAGAGTGAAGGGATTAGGGTAGAGTTCTCTATGTGATGGTCTCTGTCTCCAAAATATTTTAATATTCTAGTTCAACAGCTTGAAAAAATATACAAGTTCAGTTTCAATTTCAGCAGTGTTCCCTCTGTCCAGTTCAGGGTTCAGTTAAAAATAATACTAATGATAGGATGGGCGCTCTGGGTTCAG